AGGCACAAATATGTATTTTCAGTCATGAATCAAAGCTTAAATGTTTGTATGGATGTAGCATCATAAAACAAAAGCCTGATACAGGATTGTCAATGTGGTAAAACTAAATCCTGCATCTTCCTCCTTAATTGCATCCGCTTCAAAATGTAATGGGTTCTTTCTTGTCCTACCACTTCCTACAGTTTGTTGAGATATGTTCTGTTGTTTTTGCATAATCCTACTCACCAAAAACTACTCAACCAACAGGTGAACATATAACCTACATGGTGGAGGTAACTAGCACTTCCCCGAACAAGCCTTTCTTTGTATGCGGGTGTTTTGCGGAACATGTTACCAACTTCAGATTTCATCTTTAATTCGGCAGTTATTTGATTATTGTGACTCACTGAGGTTTGTAACTGTCTCAATAAAATACATTTTCGTCTTTTTGTTTCATTGGCCCATCAGATAGACACGTTTGTAAATCCTCTGAAGAGCTCAATGAGGAACGTGTCCAATGCGGTGAAGGCCCTGCCGGACAGTCTGGCTGAAGGAATGACCAAGGTATCTGATAACATGGGCCGCATGTCAGAAAGACTGGGCCAGGACATTAAACAGTCCATACTGAAGGTAACGCCATCAAATACTGACGATATTTTAAAAAATAGATCATGAACCACAAGCCTCCATGTTAGCTCATCCAACCTCTGACCATGTTAACTTTCCTCTGCTCTCCCAGGTGCCTCCACTCCTCCCCAAGTCAGACATCGACCCTGAACACTGTCGAGTCTCCGCCCAGCTCGATGACAACGTGAGTCAGTCAGTCTTGGCTTGGTTGCCACGTTTTTCTTTTTATTGTGGTTTCAGTAAATGTTAAATGTGTGTCCTATGTGTCCAGGTGGACGATAACATCCCATTGAGGGTAATGCTGCTGCTGATGGATGAAGTGTTTGACTTGAAGGAGAAAAATCAGTGGCTGCGCAGGAACATTAAGAACCTGCTGCAGCAGCTCATCAGAGCGACATATGGAGACACCATCAACAGGTCAGAGACACTAGGATATGTATTATATATCCACAGGTACAGCAAGTCCAAAAATATATCTACAATTCATTCATGGATCATTTATTAAGTTGACTATAAAAGTGTTTCTACCCTTATCAAGCTTTATTTTATTTATAACTAATCTCAGCAAAAACATGGTAACAGTCTTGTACATTTTGTTTAAGAGTGATCTGTTGCTTTTGA